GTGGAGCTCTCCAGGAAGATGACATGACTGTATTTGAATAAATGTAGATTGTTATACATGAAAAAAAAATAAAACATCACCTGAAAATAAGCCCTAATGCGTTTCCTGGAGCAAAAATTAATATGAGACCCTGTCTTATTTTCAGCGAAACATGAGAATCATAGCACCCCCACATACACACTACACGTCACCAATGAAATGTAGGAAGACCGCCCCAACCCCTCACTGAAGTGATCTAAGCAATCAGAGAGGAAAAAAGTTGAGATCAATCCTAATCTTCCAAATAAATGACAGGCTCCAACCCTACACCAATCTAGGGCAGACTTAGCTCCATTAGGGACAGGTTGGAACACTTGTACAAGAACGTCCTGTAGTCCATTTGTTAGAGTGATCCCAACTGTTCCAGCAGGGGGCAACAGAGTGGGATAAACTCCCATGTACGGAGCTGGTCTCTCAGTTAGTGGTAACCTGAACGTCATTTGAAAAGCTAGCTGTTCAGGGTTCCAGATCTTCAGATAGCATAGGCATCCTTCAGTCTCGAGAGACCATGGTAACGTGCTCTGTACTGAGGAGTGTCCTCTCCAGAGCATGAAGCCTGGATAAAGTAATATGGAGGATAGGCTGTTACCCAAGCAGCAGATCCCCCCTCTCCACGTTGCTAAAATGGTCCAATGGACAACTGGTTAAGCCAGACATTTCTAGGAAATTCCAAGAGAAAAGGCACAGACAAGAGGTCACTGAATGAAAATTAGTGAGAGTAAGGATGTTTCTCCATTCTTGTTCCAGATTCAGTTGTTGCAATGTACAAGGGAATAGGTATATAGTCCATTAGATTCTTTCCCCAATTCCAAGGTAGGGTTGCTGGCTTTTCCAAGACTCCCTGCTCTTTTACCCTTAATAAAAGTTTGACTTGGCAAGCTTCAAAAGGTTTCTTTCTATATCTTGAAATTTTCACTTGCTCACTCTGCTGATTAAGCTGCTATTCAAGACAAAAAACAAAGCAAAGTTGTTTATCTCCTGGCAAATAAATACATGTTTATTTTATATGCAATATTCTTGTTCCATACAAGTGCATGGATTTTGTATTTCTTTTTCTTATGGAGAATGGGTAAAAGGATTCTCAATTTGTCCTGACATTCTCCCAAGACTCTGTTTCTCCAAAGGTCTGGAGCAAGAGAGAAATCATGAAGCTAGATCCGGGACTGCAAACTTTAGCAGATAATATCAATTTCAATGCCATGAAAAGCATCACCTCATCCTTTCTGCAGACCAGAGTTGAACAAGAGACAGGCCATATAGTTAGTCTCTGGATTTAGATGGCTGAGAATATTTAGAAGATAACTCTTGCGAGGGCACCTCTGGCATGTGGAACTAATTCAGCTCATGGAGGGTCAAAATCCAGCTTGTGTAGTCTCTCAGGTTGCACCCCCCAAGCCCAGAACAGTATATGAGAAAAAGAAACATGTTGTCTAGACGTACAAGGGAGAATACGGTAATGATACCATCTTCGGCCATGATTTGCCACACCTGTGACTTTATCTAACTTACTGCATCATATTCCCCACAGCCCTGCCTTCCACCCTCTGCCCACAGTCCTATGGACCAATCGGAGCAGGGGGGAGGATTGGTGAATTGACCTTGTGGTGCTTGGCCAAGATCCCACTATCTACTAGTGCTGCCTGTTCATGCCAGGAGTGCTGGTCATGTTGGACCTGAACTCAGTTATTGCACCAGCCAGTGATTGAGAAAACAGCAGAACATCTGTCCCCTACTTCATTTGTACTTCAGTGGTACACACGTGGATTCTTACAACTTTGTTTCTTCAGTTCAGAAAAAAACACCTTTAGATCAATGTGCCCAAGATTTCTGGGTGCTGGGGATGCATTTATTTCCTGAATTAAACTCAGGGGACACACTTAACAGGTTTTGTTTCTAGGGCAATTCCAGACAAGGGAGCTACCATTCAAAACGTATTTATGTTGCTTCTTTCATCCTTTAATGCATTTTCTATAGTAAAAAAGTGAGTTTTGTGTGTGTGGTTAGAAAATAAAGGAAGGTTACAAGCACAGAAGTCCATGGTTCTAGCAGAGTGATTGTCTACTAAGTTTCATTCTTTCTTCCTGCCACAAGTCTTTTAACAGACATGGTTCATATTCTGCCTATACTAGCAGTTTATATATTTCACTTACAGTCCCTCTTTCAATCTTTCATTGCTTCTAACTTCTGTCTTTTTTTCAATTACTGTATCTCCTCAAGGTTTGTCATTGTTTTATCCTCTCCCCCATTCTTTTGTCCATTTTTGCTAAATGAACTCTAACTGTGAAATCCCAGTTTCTCCCAAAGGAAAATCTTGAGGTGGAAAATGGGTGGGGGAGGGTGAATTAAGGAACCCCTACACCTACCAATTCCTCCCTGCAAATGTGTCCTCTTCTTTCTGCATTTATAGGATAAGGTAAACACAGGTTGGAAAGTTCTTATCTGCCTGAAAGTTACTTCCAGCTCAGGTTTATTGAATTTATTAGGAGCTACTCCCAGGTAACTGTGCTTGGGTGCAATGTCTGCTACTTCAGCTGTTTTCCTCCAACCCATTTTCTGAGGAGACTGGCTCTACACTGCCCTAAATGTGCTGCTGACGCACATGACAGCCAAGCCTATCAATGTCAGCCAGATGGAGCTCCTTTTTAGAAAAAAGAAAAAAGAGTGAACAGCCTTCTAATGCAATACAGATAAACTACTGACCCTTGCTACATTCAAAAGCCAGTTTGAAACCAGCGAACATCTACCCCTGACCTGGCAGCTTCTTCAAAGCTATCTCAGGACCTTTGTGGATCTTTCAATATTTATTCATTATAAAAAGTAAATTGAGCATGCAAGCCTCTGCTTTTGTGTGACGATTTCATCAGCTGGGATACCCGAAATCCAGAGGCTCAATGTCTACCAGCATAGACCCACAAGGTCAATGCAGGCTGCACCTGTTTAAATCACTAAAAGGGGATTCTCCATTCTCCCAGCCTCTGCAAAAAGACGTCCGAAAAGGTACACTGAAAGGGTGTGTGTGTTACTGGAGGAACCAAATAGTAAAACTTTTTGTGGACTTTCCCCACCAGTTATCTGGCTGAATGGTCTCCAACATTTAAAAAATCCTTGTGCACCGAAGTACAGAGAAAAGCTATTTTTTTCCGTAATATTTTTTTGTATATTCAGGAAAGGGTTTTTTTTTAAGGGGGCTGGGAAACATTTTAAATTCTGTTGATTTTATAAAGTGGCTGTCAAGCCCGAATTAGTTGGTGGAGGTGAGAGTGTCACATGGCTCATTGCAACACATATCTTTAGTCAGGGCCTCTCTAGTAGGTAATGTGTGACCTAACATCTAATGAAGTTCTCAACAGGAATTTATGAGAGCAGTCAGTTCAGCTCTTAGTCCAGGCCAAACCTCTGTGAACCTGGCTTTAAAAACTCTGATTCAAAATACTGTTTGGTCATGAAACATGCTGAGTGCCTGTCTCTGTTTTTCAGTTTAATTTCCCTCACAGAATTCTTGTGCAGATGAAATGTGGCAGAGAACCACAAAACAGGTCAGAGCAAACACTTTGGCATCTTGGGCACAGCAACCATTCCTCCTTCTCCATAATAAACAAGCATACTGTAGTACCCTAGGTTAGTCACATTTTGGAAGCTCACAATTTCACAACCACCTCGCTCACTTCCCAGAACTACAAATACAATGACCCAAATCCTACTGGGTAACTTACACTCAGGAAGGGTAATGGTTTTACCAGTAGAGGACACTTTTCAGTAATTAGAGACTTCTGCCCTGTGGCTCCGACACAATTAAACTGATTAGTCACTAATCATACAAACCATGGGACAGAAGAAGGGTGTCTTTAATCCCTTCATCCTTCCACAGGCATAACTCATACAACAGGATTTTAGTCATTAATTACATATTAAATAAACCAACATTGTGCTGATGTTTCATAATGCCATAAATCTGCTGCATGAAACAGCCATCTCACTGTCCAGTTCTGGCCCTCCATGAATGCTGCCCTGAGGAGCTTCAAGAAAAGGAGATTTTTAAAAATATAATAAATAACTCAATAATCTCTTTCTCATCACAAGGAAGAAAAGTAGGATGAATAGGATGTGCATATACAGTATAGTGATGAATAGTGAGGGTTACTATGACATGTCTTATTTTTTCCTGCACCCTATATTTGAATTTATAAGTAAGTTAAAATATGTATATGAGTAATCTGGTGAGAACTATGTCATTTTTATTTTGCCTGTAAAGTCATATTTTGACATTTTTAAAGTATGTCACATTTCCGCTTAATTTTGTAATGAATGTTACATTTTGGTAATCAACAGCTCTCCTGATTTCAACATGCCTAAAAGTTGATTTCAGCGAGTGTAAAATTACAGCATTTTGTTCAAGAGTTTGGGGAGCAGATTTTCAGTAGTGATTATGCTATTTTGTTTTGTACATTGTATGAAGTTAAGGTGTTGGCCCATATCACATGGCTTGCACAGGGTCTACACAGAGTGGCCAAAGAGATTCAAAGCAACTATCCTGATATAGATAATTTCAAGTGGGGGAAAAGATGTTAATTAAAACTCCATATTGAGTACAAAAGTTCAAAGAAATGGCTTCTACTTTGGCTCTCCCTCCCCAACCTGTCATGACAAGTTAGGGGGGCTTGGTTGGATGCAGATATGTATTATTCCACAAATAATGATTCCTTGCAATTAAATAATTTGACTGCTGTGAATCTTCCTCCATCAAAATTGTGCAAGATTCCTTTTCTGAAATCTTCGCCGGAAGATTGGCATATATAAAATCTAATGTCAGTTATCAAGAACAGTTACCCACCTTTTTTTTCTAGGCTTGTGGATTTTCAGGCTTGCAAGGGTGCGTTTGCTCTTATCTTTGTTCTCCCTGACTGCATGGTCTGGGGGGTGGGGGTTAGCTTTAAATGAGTGCTAGCAGAAGCTCTAAGCCCTTTTCCTGCTGAGGAACCAGAGGCAGAAGGTGGGCTGTGTTTCGGAGGCCATTTTATTTGGTGAGGTATTTTTTTCTAGGCTTGTGGATTTTCAGACTTGCAAGGGTGTGTTTGCTCTGACCTTTGTTCTCCCTGACCACATGGTCTGAGGAGGCGGGGTTTTAGCTTTAACTGAATGTTAGCAGAAGTACACGCCATTCTCTAATTCTATTTTTAGACTCTAACCTGGTAAATTGGAAAGACAAACAGCAGTGCATACACCTGGGGGAGCAGGAAAGTTTTAGGGGTAGGATCAGACTTCCTCTCTTTTTAATTCACTGACCAATCAGTTGAGATGGAGAGTGCAGGATCTGTTGCACTTGTAACACCCGTGGTATGATTGTTTTCTTGCCAAATGAGGTGCCTGGGTAGTAATGCTCTTAGTGCAAGTTGGTAGTCCTCTTGAAAGACGAGGTCCAGCAGCTGGAGGCCTGTGTTTCTCATCTCTGTACTTTAGGGAGCAGGCCAGGTAGGTGGGACTCATCAGCCTTGGAAAGCAGCCTATCTAGGAGAAGGAAAATTTCAAAACTCCACTGCCTTGTGGCTATATGCACTGATGGAAAAGGCTTCAGGAGTTAACCTTGAGGCAAAATCCAGAGCCAGAGTCCCGGAGGCAGTTCGCATCGCTCTGGCAACTCCTGCAATGTCGCTGGAACCAGTTCTATTGGCTCTTGCCTTTCCATCGGACTATTTCAGTGATGTGGAGAGGGAGGATTTGCTGCTCGGGTCACAGCCAATCTTCCATATTATTTTACCCAAGCTTCGTTCTCTGGAGAGGACACTCCAGCTTCGCATACAGCATTAAAATAATACGGGAAGTAGCAGTTACCGGTTATAAGTCTTTGCTCAATTGGTGTAGAGCATGATACCAGGGGCTACTTCTGACCGTGGGAGAGGTAATTGCACCTCACTAGGTAGTTACCGCCTGCCTTAAGCTGAGCAGTCCCCAGCCAGTAAGGTGCTACCTCGCCACGGTCTGTTAACCTCACGGGGTCCGTGGGGTTTAACGTGAAAGCCGACAAGCAGATTGATAACCCTGCACCATGCAAAAATCATAAGAAAACGTTTGTCCTAAAGCTGGGCACCTGGAATGTTTGGACATTGACTCTTGGCTTTTCTGACGGCTTGCAGGAAATAGATGATATGCGCAAGACAGCTGTCATTGACATGGAACTAAGTAGGTTGCAGATGGATATTGTTGCCCTGCAAGAGATGAGATTGCCAGACATGGAATCTATCAAAGAAAAAATAATCTCATTCTTCTGGCGGCAAGAAAACTTTTGTCCTAAAGCTGGGCACCTGGAATGCTTGGACAATGACCCTTGGCTTTTCTGACGGCTTGCAGGAAATAGATGATATGCGCAAGACAGCTGTCATTGACATGGAACTAAGTAGGTTGCAGATGGATATTGTTGCCCTGCAAGAGATGAGATTGCCAGACATGGAATCTATCAAAGAAAAAATAATCTCATTCTTCTGGCGGGGAAAACCATTGAAGAGACTAGGGATACTCTGCTGAGATCCATTGTTCCACCTACTGTTGGGAGTGAAAGAATCCTGTCTCTGCAGCTCCACTCATCAGTGGGACTGGTCACCCTCATTACTGCATATGCACCAACACTGTAGTCTACAACAGAAGTGAAAGAGAAATTCTATGACGATCTGGCAGCTACTATCAAAAAAATCCCAGCAAGAGAGCTGCTGTTCATTCTTGGAGACTTTAATGCTACAGTTGGTGCTGATCACAATTCTTGGCCCACTTGTCTAGGCCGTTTTGCCATTCAGAAGATAAATGAAAATGACCAATACCTGCTGGAGTTTTGCTGTTATGATGGTCTTTGTGTCAGCAACAGGTTCTTTAATATAAAGCTTCAACATAGAGTTTCTCAGAGACATCCAAGATCGAAGCATTGGCATCAGCTCAATTTGATCCTCCCTAGATGCTGTAGCCTTCCGAGCATTATGATCACATGCAGTTATCAGAGTGCTGATTGTGATACTGATCACTCCCTGGTGTGTAGTAGAGTAAAACTGCAAGCAAAGGGATTGTATCACACGAAAAAGGAAGACTATGTATTGACATCAGCAAGATTCATGATCAAAGAAAAGTGGAGGAATTTGCCCAAGCCCTTCAGGAAACCCTTCCAGGCCCAGCTGATGCAAATGCAGCTGAACGATGGGAACATTTAAAGAACGCTGTTTATAACAGCGCCTTGTCCACATTTGGCAAGAAGACCAAAAAGACGGCAGACTGGTTCAAAGTCCATTTGGAGGAGTTGATGCCAGCCATAGAGGATAACAGGAGAGCTCTTAGCAGCATACAAAGCCTGTACTAGTGAGTACAACTTGCAGGCTCTTCGAGTTGCTCATAACAAAGTCCAACCGGCTGCCAGGAGATGTTCCAATGATTATTGGCTTCAGCTC